GGGTGACGCCGATCGGCATGTAAACAAACGGCTCGAAAGCTGGCGTGCGGCTGTACGCCGCAACGGCTCACCAAAGCGCTGCGAGCCAGTGATTCGGGCTGATGTCCCCTACTCACGCGCTCAAAGTCGGCGTGCCGCCTTTGTTTGCTAGAGCGTAGAGTTTTTTTTTTTTTTTTTTTTTTTTTTTTTTTTTTTTTTTTTTTTTTTTTTTTTTTTTTACACCCGGCATCATTGCGTTAATGAGTAAGCTGTAAACAGTATAGCTAAATTGATTAGGAAATTAAGACAGGGAATGTCAATTTCTTTTTATACTTTCTCATGTATTTAATTTTAACCTAACACTGACAGATGAAGAAAATATATAAAATTTGCACTCTGGTGCTTAATGGTAATGAGCCGATTTTGAGCATGGGAATTTTCTACATCAAGCTGAACGTCCCACTTGAAGCCCTCTGGTGCATTGCTGCGGCGTACAGTTGTACTCCACAGACCAAGTGGTTTGTTATGACACCTCTAGATGTGACCTGGCAGTATTGAGTTAGATATTGAAATATAAGTCGCAAAGTTTGCTAAGCATTTTTAAAAATTGTTTATTTAACAACTGGGCTTAGATTGTTATACTTGAACGTACTAGTTTTACCAGATAAAATCCCAGTTTGATAAGGTGGCCAAATTGGTGTGGATGGCAAGAATGCAATTCCATGTCCACTGTAATAAAAGTTCATCTATTGTCTTTACACATAGATGGCTCAACAAGTGCTAAGTTACCAAGGAGTCAGTTATTAGTGTTACCTATCTCGCTTGTTTACCCTTTTCCATTTGGACGAAGTGCAGGGTGGTTACATCTTTGAGCCCCCATCAGAGTTAGCCCCTTGTTGATGATGGTGTAGTAAACTATAATATTTAATTAATAATTCTGGATTTTTTCAACAGAGTCTTAAGAAAAACCCCAGAGAAGTAGGACAAGAGGTTCTGAAAAATGTTGCACCAAATCCCCTTATTTCTAATCTTGAATTATCTGGGCCAGGATTTATTAACATTGTCCTCAATAAGGACTTCATCAAGCAACAGGTAAGCATACAGGGATGAAAGAGCAAAGGAGAAACTATCTCATATTTTTAATATCTTCTTTTCTAATTGTCCTTTTTATTTAATAAATATGTTACTTTAGTAATTTAAATCCTTTAGCTTATGAAAGTTTTCACTTTAACACTGTGTTTCATAGTTGGTTGTATTAACCCCTTAGATCTGGTTGCATCATGGCAATCACATGACCAAAAATTTGGGCATTAGGCTTAGCCAGGTGGCGGCTTGTAGGCTGGGCGTGTATGAATATGTGTGCGGTTATAATACTCTATGCCTCCATATCATCTCTAGGTAGTCTGCAACTTGGTGCAAGAAAAATAATTTTTTTTAACACTTTGTTACTTGTGTCTTTTTATTATTATTATTATTATTATTTTTGTAATATTCAATTTTCTGTAATACAATCTATGTTGCTGGTCACAGTACCAGGAATATATGTTGAGCATGGAAATGACACCTGGATTAAAGGGGTTAATCACTGTTTTTGTTATCATTTTCATTATTGTTAGAAAATGAACAAGAAATTTTTAATTACTATTCTGTCTAATCACATAACAATCTTTGCAGGTAACAAATTTAATACTGAATGGTGTAACTCCTCCTCCTGCAACACCAATACAAGTTGTGGTTGATTTTTCATCTCCTAACATTGCAAAGGAGATGCATGTTGGTCATTTGAGGTAAGCACCTCATATTTGTGTATGTTATGGTTTATATAAAAGAATACAGCTTCAGTAATCTTCCTGTAGATGTGGAATGAAAACTGAAACCTTGTACAGATGTTTCAAGTGCAAAGATTTTAGGCTCAGGATGTGTTCAGTTGTGTCTTGTGTATTACTTGGATCTAATTTATAATATGATTTGAGTACATAATTGTTAATGTAGCATATTCTGTAGACCTGATTTTAGAATATATAATTATATACAATAGATTGATATTTATTAGTATATGCAAATGATTGTATCTGTATTCACTTGCAGATAATACCTTTCCTCTTGGTTGATTTAAGATAGAAAGGAGTTCAGCACTGATGAATGCATATTATAAACATCTGTTTTTTTTGGTTTTTTTTAGATCGACCATTATTGGTGATAGTATTGCTCGCTTACTGGAGTTCCTTGGGCACAAAGTGTTGAGACTCAACCATTTAGGTGATTGGGGAACACAGTTTGGCATGCTCATTGCCCACTTGCAGGTAAAACTTAGTAATGTGTGGAAGTTGTAAAAGTCTTATTAGGGAAATGATGGATGTAATAGAAATTACAAGTTATTCAGAAAAAAAATATACGTTCATTGTTGTTTAGGTTCATTTTGCTACATATATATATATATCTGAATCAGATTTAAGGAATCATTACTAATAGTAATTATATACTGATAGTAATTATATTATATATTTCTAGGAGTAATTATATAATTTCTAAAAGTAAAAAGCAAGATAGTATATGTAAAGTAAGTTTTTTGCTTAAAAGCATAATATTCTTAATACAGTTTCAATGCCATATCCCAGTTCAGAGAAGTATTTGCTTAAACACACACACACACACACACACTCACTCACTCACTCACTCACTCACTCACTCACTCACTCACTCACTCACTCACTCACTCACTCACTCACACACACACACACACACACACACACACACACACACACACACACACACACACACACACTCACTCACTCACTCACTCACTCACTCACTCACTCACTAGTCTGGTCTGGTATTATGTTTCATTATTGCAGCACTAGTCTGTTCCAAAGCTTGGAATACTGGTGTTCATGCCATCCATGATAATGTTCAATGAACCACCTGCTTTCTTGTACTTCCAGGACACCTTCCCAAACTTTGCAACTGAACCTCCACCAATTGCTGATCTTCAGAAGTTTTACAAGGAATCTAAAAAGAGATTTGATGAAGATGAAGAATTTAAGAAGCGGGCTTATGAAGCAGTTGTAAAACTGCAAGCATATGAACCACTACACAAGAAGGGTTGGGAAGAAATCTGTGAAATTTCAAGAAAAGAGTTTATGAAGGTATTTCCTTTTTTTTATTAGCTTAATTTGGTTGTTCTTGTTACTTTTGTGCTTGTATCTTTTCATTTTTGTCTTGGTCTCTTGTCCCTGTTCTTCATATGCTTCATCCTCATCCACTCCCTCCCCCTCCTTTTTCTCTTTATCCATTCTCATCCTCCCTCTTTTCCTACTTCCTCCTCCTTCACATCTTCATCCTCATTCTCCACCTCCTTATCCTCCTCATCCTCTGCACTTCCACCTGCATCTCCTATTCCCATTCCGCTGCTGTCTCCTTTTTTTTTGTCCCTTTTCCTGTCTTTCTTTGGCCTCTTTTTGTTATTAGTCATTTTTTTCTTACTTAACTGTCTTTCATTTTATAGTGAATAGCCAAGTAGTTTTTATTTGGCACTTTTTATTTGGCCTTTTTTTTTTCTTCCTTTATCTGGTTATCCTTTTTATTTATCCTTATTTCTGTTAAAGAATCAAGATATTTAGTTTGTATTGTTGCTTATCACTTTTCTCATGTCTTCAGGTTTACGAACGTCTCCAGATTCGTATCATAGATCGAGGTGAATCCTTTTATCAGGAACGAATGGTTAAGCTTGTTAAAGAGCTCAATGATGCTGGATTACTGGAAGAAGATGAAGGTCGTAAGGTTTGTAATGTTTATCCTTTGAATCAATTTTTAAAATCTGGGTGTTTTGTACAGGGATGTTGTTAATTATGATCAAGATTTTCTTTGATTTATTTGTTTGTTTGTCTAATAATATGTCTTTCTGTTTCTTTGTTTCATTAAATATAGCAGTGGCTCACTACCATAGATTAAGCATCTTTGTATATTTGTTATTTGAAAGGTTTTACAGTTCTCACAAATAGGGTTAGGAATAATCTATAAGTGTTGGATATTATTTTTGCATAATTTTTTTGTAATATAAAAAAGTGAATATTGCAGAATTATTGTAATAGAAAAACAATTAGCATAGCAATATTATTCTAGAACATTTCCATGTAAAGTAAAGCATAAAAAAGAGGAATGGAAGGGTGGACATCTGTGGTGGAAAATAGTGAAAAGTAAAAAAAAAAAAGATGTATATATATATATATATTTTTTTTAATTAATTAATGTTTGTTACTATTTATATTATTTGTTAACTCTAAAGCTAGACATTATTGCTATATACAAGATATTTATGGCTACTAAGCCCTTAACATTTCCTGTGTTGCCTTTTAGTGAGAGTATATAACCCTTACAGCCGGAAAGATTTGCACACAATTTCAAAAGAAGTTGACAAACTTGAAATGTATATATTATATTTTGATTATATCCCCAGATCAATATTAACCCATTCACCCTGGATTTATGTTCTGCCCCCTGTAGTTTTTGGGGTCATTCCATACCAAATCATCAGAAATTTTAGAAAATTTTAACCCTACCCCTCAGAATAGCCTCAAATTTGGTTTGCTGATAAAGATCTATGAGTTAGAGAAGAATGTCAAAAATTTTTGAGAAATTCCATCTAGTTTGGGTTTTATGGACCATTTCATTTTTTGAAAAACCCCCCAAAAAGCTTAGGGTTAGCGATGACATCTTTGACGCACAAGTTAAAGTTATTTTAAACCTCACTGGAAAGAGATACATGGAGGAAAACAAGCACTAAAGTATTTTCAGGTATGTAGAATTCAAAAATAACACTTAGAAAGTCATATCTAGCACCAGGACAATGCCACCTTACAATAAACTGATGTAGGTTTCTGGCAAAATATTTTGGTGGTGGTCAAAAATTGATTTTTTCCCCAAGAGGCATACCTTTTACAAACCTTTTTATTATGTTTCCAAAATCTACATAGAACAATCATGTAGTAGACCAAAAGGTAGCTTGGGGTCTTAACTCCTACTCAAATTGGGTTGGAAAATCTGACCATTTTTCATATCAAATGCCTGCATGCACGCAACATTTTCCCAAAATTATATTTTCAATTCACATGTGCAATGTTATAATTGTATGTTTTAATGTGCTTTTAAAGATGACAGTGCAGAGTACAGCTGGTGATGTCATGTAAAGGACAAATTATGATCTATCTTGGTGCTGGCATGGAAAATGTTTCAAAACATAAACTGAAAATTTAATTCTGAAAAGTAGTAAAAAGTTTAGCTATGTTTGAAACATCTTTCTTTCGTACAACTTGTGCTGGAAAATGTCTGTTGACTTTGGACAATTTGGACAACGTTGTACCATGCACTCTTTGTCATCAATGTCACAAACCAGAAACTTTGTTAATTCTTTGTAATTAGCCCCAATAGGAGAAAGAAGTAGCTTGGCATTTTGATGTATGATACAAACACATGCTGAATGTGTTCCAGCAGCACCTGGCAAAATGCACCACTTGGGTCTCAGAGAACAAAATTTCGAAAACCCTATCTTTACTTCTGGGAACTTTTCCCTGAAAGAGCTGAATAGTTCCTTTAAGTTACAAAGAATAAGTCGCTTTTGTTTATGTATATTGCGACCAATGCTTACAAAATCTTTTTGACCTGGCATTTCCCTGGTGTGCTCTTCGTCATGGTAAAATTGGAGTACCAAATCTCTAGTAACTTGGGAGAGCCCTCTACCCATTTTGGGGTCTGGAAGTGACAGAATGCCTTTTTCATTTGCAAGTTTTCGAGCAGTACGTACAAGATACTCTGAAACTTTAAAATATTCAGCACACTGTTTGACTGTCCAGTTTGATGGACACAAGGTCAAGATTTGAAGTTTTGCCCTCGATGATGTCAAGGAAAAGATCTTTTCACGAAGACGACTCATCATTTCATCAAAACATCTTGCTTTTTCTGAAAGAGCTTTGTCGCTTTTTGCATCCGGGGAGGATTTAAGTTGTTCAACGGGAACTTTGTAATGGTTTCTACAACACTACCGATCTTCCTTTTGCTGCTGCTAATTCTGGCTGTTTCCGGCTTCCCATGTACCTTTATTGGGGACACTCCAATGGAGGAAAACAAATCCTGCAACTGATCCCTATCTTCATCACGCGAAACAGATTCTTCCACAAATAGCATTTCGTCACTGGGGTCTTCCTCTGTGCTATCATTCCGACTTGCCTCAATGGCTGATAGTTTTTTGCGGCATGTGGGACATAACTTTTTTCCAGGAATCAAATCCAATTGGAGTCGCTGTGCCGACTTCACAAGTTCCATCTTTATTAATCGTAAAGAACCTGAAAATAAATTAAGAAATACTTGATTTTCTAGTTATTAGTCAACTAAGCAAAATTTGTCAATATTTGCTATATTTACCAGTGCATATTCCCTTTAAGTTTTAGCCATTACATTTTGTTCTGATGATATCACTAAGTTTTGGGCTTGCTAAGATGTTTTCATATAAACAGATTTCCAACAAGTAATTTCATTTCTCTTTTGCTCTAAAATTGGCCTGTGTCTAGACAATGTGTTTAGATATTAGTAATGAAATGTATAATATGCAAGTAGCAACTCTAACCATGAGCAGGTTTTTTGTGTGAATGAAAAGGGTCACAGCATCTATCCTGGTAGGTCATAAACTTCACCAGATAAAACTGTTTGTGGTGAAAACAAACTGTATCTATGGAATTCTTCATTTCTGCTCTTAAGGCAATCAACTCTTTTTCTTCATCATCCAGTTCAGCAGCATTCATCAAACCAACACTTGAAGTAAAAGATTTCTTGTGGCATTCATCATCTCTTTCAAGGCCAACAGAACATTGTTGCAT